TTCTCTTCATGACGTTTTTAATAATCAGCTGGACGTACTGCTTTATCTTAACGCTGCCTCGCTGTTTTTCATATAAATTTTTCATATCGTTGATTTCATATGTGTTATGGCGGGGTTGAGAGGCATCCATCTGGTCGTTCGGCCAGTTGCCAGTGTCTCACTTGTGGGCCCATGTGTTCAGAATATCTCGTTTGATAACACGCAGAATTATTTATAATATTAATTGATTTATTAATGGTCTCTCTGATCAGAAGTTGATTTATGCTTCGACCAGCTTCGAATTTTACTCTTTGGTTTTAATGCTGTATTTAATTTGCTTCCCTTATTTCGGACTGTACTTTGCCGAACTAGTGACTGGTAGATAACTACAATATGCTATGAATATGAGCTTTTCCTAACTTGTTTATGGCCATTTGTTCTACAATTACTTTACTTTTGCCAGGGCAGAAGAATTTGTTTTGTCATTTTGTATTCAGATTTTCCTTTTGTTGAATTAGTACTGAGTGAGTCAAGCTACTTCGGACTGAACGACCATAAGTTGTGGCATGATCAAATCAGAACGCCATGCTCTCCTAATTTTTGGTATGGCATCCACTTGCTTCCTATTTCTGGCAGGTGACGTCGAAGCACAGAAAGGTAGCTATTCCGGAGAATTAGCATTTAATAATAGATTTATACATAACCTAAATTTTAACTAATATATTCGACAGTCCAACCGAAAGGCGTCAATATTATCGGTCAGCTTCATCCTCTGTTCGTAAGGTGGGCTAAATGGCATACTATTATGCACCGCATCTTTCGGTAATGTATGATCTTCATCGCGTGAGTGATATCCACTTCAAAGTCTCAGTCCACTTAGACCAGATATAGCAGATTATATTCAAGAATTGAAGTCTGCCGAAAACAAGTGATTTCGCAGATAGCTTGAATTTGCAGATCGGAAAGCAGGAAAATCTGATCTTAACAAATTCAGACTCTATCCTTGAATCCGTTTACTGCGTGTTTGTCCTTCTCTCTTGAGTTGTCAGTTCGTGTTGGTTTTAAGTGTTACATATTTCTGTGATTTTAGGCGGTCAACTTCTAGATTGATTTGATTGCTGGGGACAGTGTCATTTACGCAGTGACTGCCGCGTAATTCCTGGCTATTCAAAGGCAGCTTATAATCGCTTGCGTTCACGTATATTCACCATGTTACGCATTTAATTATCTGCACAATGTCGCAATAGATTAATGGCGATCGGTTGCATTCGGGAATTAAGCTATAACGTAAATATTTCGTCACCCGTGAGCTTCAGTCCGTTGGTTGAAGTGGTGACAGCTCTTAAATCAAGAAAATGAACTTAAATTAAAGCTGATGGACACGATGTAATTGGCATATCATTTAGTTAGATTTACTGTAGAATTTCAGTTCATTTTCCGCGTAGAAGTTCTCCAAGTACTTTTAACTGCAAAGTATTTTTCGAAGAGAATTTAAGGAAAACACAATAGACGAATTAACTTGAAAATGACAACAATAACAATTGACTAATCCTTCTTATTTAACATGAATCACAACTGCCAAGTTTCGATGCCCACGTTCGATTTGTTGTCATAAGTTTCCATTTTTATCTTTTAGCATATCGTTCCATCTGAGCTGAGGTCCTCAAACTGGGCGCTTGCATCCAATTGGGTCCAACTCGGCACAGCTAAAGTCTGTCGGTTACCCATCAGTCGTGTGATGTGACTTGCATATTGTCGTTTTTTTATTTCGAAAATGATAAAATATCAATAATTTCCATGCCTCTTTTTATTTTTTGATTTTGCAGCGTCTTCCTGCTGAAAATATCAAGCATCATTCTTTTCATAACCTGCTGTAGCACTCTTAACAGTTTTTTATCCTTTTTTTATTAATGCCTAGGTCTCGCAACCGCTTAGAGCTGTTCCGTGCCTTCATGCACTGTGGTTCTAACTGCAATTGGTAATTTTCTGTTTTCAACATTTTCAACAGCATTTCTTCTGTACGTTCTCAACATCATGCGACGCCTTCTAACGAGCTCTGAATCAAATGAGTGGTCTGACACCATTAGCTGTTCCGAGTATATTTATCTGGTGACGTCTTTCATTTGGCAGTCGTTGATGTTTACTGTGTCTGGTTGTGCGAATTTGTCTCATCAGCTTCGTCTTCTTAGTCGTCATGTTTATATGAAGTCCAGTTTGCATACTCTTTAACTGTAGCACGTATTGCATGGCTTCAGTTTCTTTTGTCTTCATCTTCAATGGCACGATGTCGGCAGCAGATCAAAAATGAAATAGCCGTCTGCCGTTAATTGAAAGTCTTTAATCCGATTTCATTGTGTGGAATACTGACTCAAGACATGCGATAATTAGCTTGGCCGGTGTGATAACTCTGGCGAACTGCACTTCAGTAGAAGCCTTGATTTCAACTGGATCTTTAAACAGCTGAATTTTCGTGCTACGACTTGCGTATGCTTAAATTCTTTACTCTTTCAACGTACAGAACACTGTTTCATGCTCCACCGTGTCAAATGCCTTTTCATAGTTGCTGAAGATCATGCCGATGGACTGTTTGTATTTATTACACTTTTCGAGTAGCTGATTACTTGTACCTGTCGATTTTAGAGTTTCAGAAAGTTTCGGTGTAATCCAGTCTACTCGATCTGTTGTTGCTCGTTCAATTCGTTGCTTTAATGGAGTTAAATTAAATTTCATAGGATATACGGTGACTATGTTCTTGACAGATAAATACTTTATTAACTTTAATATGAACCTATTACCGCTTTCTTTTGAAATTACTGGAAGTCATACTCTCAGAATTGGTGCTGATTATGAAATTGGGACAGGATAAGCACTGTTAATGAGCTTTTCCTTGTAACGAAGCTTATGGTACCATGTTGACCCCATCTGTTTTTCTCACCTATCGGTCAGAAAGGTTTTATTCATAGAGCCTGACGCCGTTGTGAAAAACACAGCCTGTAGTTTCCCACTTCATACTCACATTATGGTTCTCGTTTATCTGCCTTGGAGGAATGACAGGTGAGTGATCCTGCCAGAATTTAACCTGGTTTCTTTCACGCTGCCTACGAAACCCCCTTCCTTTATTTCACTCTGAAGAGGACTTATGTGATACATCGTCGTGATAGGCTCGTGACTTAGCATGATGTTGTATTTTCAGTACTTTTTTTCGTTTTGATATTTCTTTCAGATTTATCTTACATGGTTTCCCTCGCCTTCTCACTCCAACAGTGATATCATGGAGAAATATCAATCCTTGTCAGCGTTGTGTTTCAGCAGACTGTTTTTGTAACCGCGTGTCGATATACGCTGCTACCATCTGTCTTGCCGAAGAGTTGCTAACCAAGCTGTAGGTTGTGATGGGGGATTAAGCGAATCATG